TATATATATATATATATATATATATATATATATATATATAGCTGAAATACTACTGATTGGGCAGTAGTAATTTAGATATATATTTCCTGAACTTAGTTTTGGAAACCTAGGTACATTCATTATAAGTTTATTATTCTTGGCCCTAAAGATGTTTGTACACTATTAATTCATTTTGTATTCATAAAATAGGTGATGGACCCGATTGCAGAGATCTAATCATTCGACATGGAATAATGAAACCTTTGCTTGACCTTATTAAATCGGACAGTCCAGTAAGTATTTTCTGTACACTGTGACAGTCCAGTTAGTGTCTTCTATTCGTTGCTTTTATTTACTCTTATCTCAGTGTTTTGATATCTCTACAACCTTATTGTGTGGAAAAATGAATGATCATCATTAATTTTTAATCACTGAAAAGAAAAGTTTTTTGGATATGTGTTAATGGTTCTCAACATGTAGTAAAATGCTAATGATTCTGAAATGTTTTTGTTGATTTTGATAAATGATTTAATGTTAATTACTAAAAAGTATTAGGTCATCAAGAAATTAATGTCGCCTTTTGGAATGCTTTCATTAACCACCTCAAAAAAACTTGTATCGTGTGTAATAGTTAAACGAACTGCCTAAACGTCACATTAGTGTAGCCTATATAATGTGTAAAGTTTAGTATACTCTAATCCCTTATAGTGATGGGACACCATGAGACACGCATGTGGCATGTAATACTGTTTGAATACAAGAAGGGAAATAATGCCTCTGTAGCCACAAAGAACATCAAAGAAGTTTATGGAAATGTTTTGAACAATCGTAAGTTTCAACGATGATTCAGCAAATTTCGTTCAGGTGGCTTTAGTCTTAAAAACTGTGATGGCAGGGACCAACATGTTGGAATTCATATTGATGCTCTGAAGACGCTTGCTTAGTCTAACCTAATGCAACACACTCGTGAAATGGCCCTGAAATTGCATGTCTTTCATGAAACAATATGTAAACATCTAAGGAATATGGAAAAACTCCATAAAGAAGGTGTTTGGATGCCTCATGAAATCTCTGATGATCATAGTTTCCAATGTGTGAACGTTGCTTCATCTCTTCTAGCATGTAATGTGCATGAACCATTTTTGGACAGAATTGTCACCAGTGATAAAAATAGATCCTATATGCAAATACTAAATGCCAAAAACAATGGCTCAAACCTGGACTCCATCCACAGAAAGTGATGCTTTGCATTTGGTGGGACATCAAAGGAGTAATTCATTTCAAACTCCTCAATCCACAGCAAACTGTCAATGAAGAGATCTGTAGTCAGCAACTAGAATGTTTAAATGAAGCCCTTCATCAGAAATGCCCTTCACTCCTCAATTGGAAAGGTGTTCTTCACGACAATGCATGTCCACATGTGGCATGTTTGATGCAACACAAGATTATGGAGTTGGGTTGGGAAGATCTCCCCCACCCACCATATTCTCCAGATATGGCACCATTGGATTACCATCTTTTTCATTTGCTGCAATACCGTCTTAATGGGAAAACGTA